CCTCTGATCTGGTTGCTTCCTTAGAGAAAAGAGATCTGTTTTCTTTTCTTTTTTTTTTTTTTTTTTTTTGAGATGGAGTCTCTCTCTGTCGCCCAGGCTGGAGTGCAGTGGCGCGATCTCCACTCACTACAAGCTCCACTTTCCGGGTTCACGCCAATCTCCTGCCTCAGCCTCCAGTGTAGCTGGGACTACAGGCGCCTGCCACCGCGCCCGGCTAATTTTTGTATTTGTAGTAGAGACGGGGTTTCACCACGTTAGCCAGGATGGTCTCGATCTCCTGTCCTCGTGATCCGCCCGTCTCAGCCTCCCAAAGTGCTGGGATTACAGGCGTGAGCCACCGCGCCCGACCAAGAGATCTGTTTTCTGCTAGATCGCTCTGCCTGCCCTGCTTTTTTTAGGTGTCTGTTTTTGCACTGGAGTCCATTTCCTTTCCACCGTCTTTCCTTCCATTTGCTACTTCCCCAAACATTTATCAAGCGCTGGGGATGCACAGACTGATTAGCCAGGGTTCCTAGCGTCAAAGGAAGAACCCCTGTGAATGGATGACTTTCAGGCTGAGGGGCGCAGTGAGGGTCTGGCTGACTACTGATGGGCCTAAGAGCAACCCCCGGAGGCAGCAGCTGGAGGATGGGCGTGCATTCACCAGCAGTGGGGCATCCTGAGCAGAGCGGCAGGAGCCCCCTACGGAAAGAGCAGTGGGTGCTGAGTGCCCGGCTCGGGGAATGCGGAGTGAGCGCAGATTGCAGCCCGTGTGAGGGGCTGCTGCCCGGACCAGGCATTTCTGTCTTACTTCGTGTCCCTCACAGCCCATCCTGTGCAATATGGAAGGAAGCGCTTCTTTTTTTTTTGAGACAGGGTCTCACTTTGTTGCCTAGGCTGGAGTACAGTGGCACCATCATGGCTCACTGCAGCCTGGACCTCCTGGGCTCAAGTGATGCTCCCACCTCAGCCTCCTGAGTGGCTTGGAGTACAGACATGAGCCACCACACCTGGCTAACTTTTGTATTTTTTGTAGAGACAGGGTTTCACCATGTTGCCTAAGCTAGTCTTGAACTACTAGGCTCAAGTGATCCCCCCACCTCAGCCTCCCAAGTAGCTGGGACTACAGACACAGGCCACCACACCCAGCTAAAGAAAGGGATTCTTAATCACATTTTCCACACAAGAATGCTGAGGCAGAGAGAGGCGAGTGCTTGGGGATGGTAGCCTGAGCCCGTCTCACTCTGGAGTCTGTTTCCTCCACTTGACTGTGCTTGACTCCCCTTCCCCTTCGAGGGCTCACTGTATGCCAGGTGTTCCCGACTGCCTCCTCTGAAGTAGTGGAAGTTGGCAGGAGCCTCCTGTGACTGTTCTGAGATGGTAGGCAAGTCAGGTACGGTGGCCCCAGGTCAGTCATGGAGCTCGTTATGCATTCCCTGTAGCAGCCGTGGAAGGAAGCCCAGAAGTGACTCAGGAAGGACCTCCCAGTCAGGGCAGGAGTCTCCCCAACAGGCTCCCAGACAGGTGCACCCAGTCTAGGTGACAACTCCTAGGTTTGTCCTTTTGGTACTTTTTTTTTTTTTTTTTTTTGAGACAATGTCTTACTCTGTCATCCAGGCTACAGTACAGTGGCACGATCTTGGCTCACTGCAACCTCCACCTCCCAGGTTCAAGTGATTCTCCTGTAGCTGGGACTACAGGCGCACGCCACCATGCCCAGCTAATTTTTGTACTTTTAGTAGAGACGATTTCACCATGTTGGCCAGGCTGGTCTTGAACTCCTGACCTCAGGTGATCTGCCCACCTCAGCCTTCCAAAGTGCTGGGATTATAGGCGTGAGCCACTGTGCCCAGCTGTCCTTTGGTATTCTTGGTAGTGCCACAGCAAAGAGCTCAGGTGAGGGCAGGGGTAACTGCTCAGTGGGGAAGCCCCTTTCCAACAACTGATGTGAAAAGGCTCCTGGGCCCTGCTTGCCCAATGCCTGGGCCAAGGACTGGCCATTGCAGAGGAGCCTGCTGGCCCCTGTGATGGTGACCTTGACCCCTGTGGCCCTAGCCTGGGACTTGAGAGGGTTCAACTGTTGAGCCAGAGTCCAGAGACCTTACACGGAAAGCACTTTGAGACCACAGATGCTCCAGGAAGTGCTACTGAGTAGCCATCCCCGTACCTGCCAGTCACTCAGACAATCTAGGTGTGGAGGGAGGGGCTTGGGCTACAGAGTCCAGAAAGCCCAGACCAAAGAGGCTCCTGGTTCCTGCAATCCAGCCCTCAGTGGGATGAAGCCGGATGGAGGGTGATAGTGGAGGGGAAGCATGGGTGAGTCAGTACAAGCCAGGTTTTGCTGCAGTGACAAGTAGCCCACATTTCAGTGGTCACAGCACACAAGCACAGGTCCCACTCCTGGTCTGTGCTCACCAGGCTGGGTTCTGCTGGGTGTCTTCAGCCCAGGACTCAGGCCATGGGAGCAGTCTCTAGGCAACATTGACAGACTAAATTGGGTGGATGACTTGAGGCCAGGAGTTCAAGACCAGCCTGGCCAACATGGTGAAACTCCATCTCTACTAAAATTAGCAGGCTTGGTGGTGCACGCTTAAGAGTCCCAGCTACTCGGGAGGCTGAGGCAGGAGCATTGCTTGAACCTGTGAGTTAAGCAGGTTCAGGTTGCAGTGAGCCAAGATCACACCTTTGCACTCCAGCCTGGGTGACAGAACAAGACTCCATCTCAAAAAATAATAATTAAAAAAAATAAAAATTAGGCCGAGCGCGGTGGCTCAAGCCTGTAATCCCAGCACTTTGGGAGGCCGAGACGGGTGGATCACGAGGTCAGGAGATCGAGACCATCCTGGCTAACACAGTGAAACCCCGTCTCTACTAAAAAATACAAAAAACTAGCCGGGCGAGGTGGCGGGCGCCTGTAGTCCCAGCTACTCGGGAAGCTGAGGCAGGAGAATGGCACAAACCCGGGAGGCGGAGCTTGCAGTGAGCTGAGATCCGGCCACTGCACTCCAGCCTAGGCGACAGAGCGAGACTCTGTCTCAAAAAAAATAAAAAATAAAAATTAAAAGAGTATCTGCTATTTTAAAGACCTTTGCAAGTTCTGTTGCTTGCTAACTGTTGCAAGGGTTTGGAGCTATTGGCTCGCCCGAGTCCCCTTCTAAGCTCAGATGCCTCCAGGGGAGGTTTTTGGCATCAAGAGGAGAGTTCTTTTCTCCTCCAGAGAAACCCCAGATGAAGGTGACAATATCCCAGACCCTGCTTTGTGAAATGGGGCTTGAATTTTAGTTCTGAATTTTTATTTTGAAGATGATGGAATAAAAAGCAAACAGACTGGTCAAAAATTATGAAAGGAGTGATAGAATTCTGAGAACTAACACTTCTTAGATAGTGCTTTTTCCTTTACCAGACACTGTCGCGTGCCTTGTAGGGTCTGCTCTTCCTGGCAGCGTTGTGAAGTAGATGGATTGCGCTTATTTGAGGGATGAGACAGAAGAGATTCCAGGATGTTAAGTGAATTGCCTGGGGATGGTGCTGGGACAGACAGGTCACATGTCCACATCTAACAGCTGTGGGTCTCTTTGTGGTCACCCTCCCAGTTTGGCCGTGTGAATGGTCAGATCCCTAAAGGCGGATTTCTGGGACATTGCCCAGCTGAAACTTCCTTCCTTCCCCAGGCTCTACGGTTTCTCCAGAAGAATTCCTCTAAGTTTCATTTCAGACGCACCAGGATGTTACCGGTTAGTGGTGCATTCCACACCCGCCTCATGGAGCCAGCTGTGGAGCCCCTGACGCAAGTTTTAAAGGCAATTGACATTAAGAAGCCTCTGGTTTCTGTCTACTCCAATGTCCACGGGCATAGATACATGCATCCCAGCCACATCCAGAAGCTGCTGGCTCAGCAGGTGGTCTCCCCGGTGAAGTGGGAGCAGACGATGCATGCCATATATGAAAGGAAAAAGGGCAGAGAGTTCCCCCAAACTTTTGAAGTAGGCCCCGGCAGGCAGCTGGGAGCCATCCTGAAGAGCTGTAACATGCAGGCCTGGAAGTCCTACAGCGCCGTGAATGTGCTGCAGACCCTCGAACCTGTAGACCTGGACCCTGAGGAGCCCCCGAGATGACTGCAGGGGGCTCAAATGGGATAACGCCCTTTGCCCTTCTGAGGAGAGGCTGTAGGCTGCGCCTGCCACACCCTCCCTTCCTAATGGCTCCTCCTCTGAGGAGTGAAAGGGATTTATTTGCAACGTGCTTTGAAGGCCACATAAAAAGCCCTAAAAATAAGTATTTCTTTACATGACCCAGTCCATTTCTCCCCCTTGGAAAAACGTTTGAATGTTGGGAAGGATGATGCCACGGGGCTGGTGTGGGGGGAAGCTGGAAGCCTGGCCCCGCCTCTGCCAGCCCTGCACCATGGGCGGGTGTGCCATCTCCGTGGGAAGGGGCGTACTGGCTGCTGCAGGCTGCACTGCTCTGTGGATGCTGGGGACATGCTGGTGTGGCCTCAAGTTGGGCCAGTGCCAGGGGAGCCCCTCCTCTATCCCCAGCCTGCCCCCCAGGGCTCCTTGGTCACAAATCTGAAAGGTTGTAGAACCCAATTGGCCTTGGCAGTTTTGTTCACCCCCTCACTTGACAGCTGGGAAACAGAGTCCCACATTTGTTGACATACCCAAGACATATGTATTGAGTGCCTACTGTGTGCCAGAGAGTGAGGGGGCTTTGTTCTGGTAGAACAGCCACGGCTGCGTCCTTCTGGCGGGAAGTCTGTGCAGGGAGAGACAGGCATCCCCTAAACAGGAACTGAAAGCCCAAAGGAAATAACCCCCAACAGTGGATTTTACGCCACAGACCAGGACAAGGGAGAAGGCAAACTGTCGGGCCAAACCAAGACGGCATTTGTGGTGCCCGGCTGCAGGGAAGGATCTGATTAGGAACACACAGGCCCTGCCCTCCCCACCAACACGGTGCACCTCCCTGGGGCAAGAGGAAGCCTGTGCAGGTACTGCCAACCCCCAGAGAGGACCAGAGTCTGCTGGAAACCAACATTTTATTGAGTACTCCTGCTCCTTGGAATCTATTCCAGTAGATTCTTTGCCAAGGGCATCACACATCACACAGGGGTGTGACCAGCACTCCCCCTGCTACCTGCCGTGTGGGCAGGGGCAGGAGTGAATGGCTCTTCCTGGGCACAAGCCACAGTTAACCGGTAACAAGTTCGGAGCCATAGGAATTCATCTCAGAAAAAACGAAAACTGGAATTAAAAAAACACAAAAAACCTGAGTATAAAACCTCAGCAGTGTTCCAGCACTATCTCAGAGTTTAAATATAAAAAGGCATCATAAGAAAACAGTTAAAAAGACAACAGCAGCAGGCTGCCACCTCCAGGGCAGTGGTCACAGGGGTGGGGCCAGCCCCGCCCTGAGCCGCTGGGGCCTCACTTGAGCAGCAGGTGCAGGCCCCCGCTGAGCAGCGCCAGCAGCAGTGCCAGCAGCAGCAGCGCCAGCAGCACCTGTTCGCGGGACACCTGCGGGAGCAAAACAGAGGAGTCAGGCTCGGAGCAGGCCCCAGCAATGAGGCCAGACAGGGGTGACAGCAGAGTTCCAAGGGGAAGCCCAGGGAGGTGGGGACTGGGAAGGAGCTCAGGAGAGGGGGAAAGTGGCCCTGAGGACATGGCCAAAGAGGCCAGCGGCTGCCAGTCTGTGGGACACAGGCAAAGGGTGGACACAGGTGAGGGTGGTCAGCTGCCCTGGTGGTGGGCAGTGCAGAGTGAGACCAGGCTGCCAGAAAGGCTGCTCAGGGAGGCCTCTGCCCTGGAGAGGAGACGAGAATCCTGTCTGCCAGGTGAAGGCTCTCGGGCCAGAGGGAGACCCAGGACCACGCACTGGTTTGTGCACTCATAACCAGGAATCCCAAACTCAGAAGCCTATGGGACCAGGCGGATGTGGACAACGATGACACAGCAGATGACAGGAGTGATGGGGACTGTGGCACCCTGAGGAGCAGCTCTGACAGCCCCCACTGGCCGCAGAGCAAATCAGGGTCAGGAATCTCAAGGCTCTTACCCAGGACCCGGGATTCAGGGATCTCCAGAACCTCATTATGTTCTCCCTAAGGGTGGTGAAACCATCTATGAAACTTCTAAGAACATCCCTGATGTCGTCCGTCTGGTCGTAGATGAAAGCCAGACCCAGGCTACAGACAAAGAGGATGGGGGGACAAAGCCATTACTGCAGGAACAGGTAGGGACAGCCTGTACTTAGATGACACCATCACAGCTGTGGGGAGCAGGGGCCTGTGCCCTCCCACCCCACAGCCACCCGGGGCCCTTTCCATGGGCACCTCCACCTGCAGGGGCCTGTTTGTGGTGAAATTCATTCTGATTTCCTGCTTCCTTCCCCAGCCAGCCGCCTGCCAGTGGCCCTGTCTTCCGGAGCTGGCCACATAGAAAATAAACCCCCATTCTACAGGGCCCTGGCAAGCCGCTGCCCACTCTGTTCCCCCACTGGAGACTAGCTAAGAGGCCCAGCCCTCAGGGTCTGGGATCCGAGCTCACGTAGTACCTCCTTTTAAGACCATCGTGGAAATGTACCATCTGGGCTTGATGAGGATGGCAAGAGAAGGGCCCTGGGCTCTGCTTTGTCTGTTGCCCAGGAATGCCAGGGACAGGTGGCAGGGGGCCAGTGCCAGGAGCTGGGGGCCCCCAGGGGGGTGCGGGAAGCAGCAAAGGGTTTCAGTACAGCCCCAGAGTGTCAGGGCACATTCCCCACAGACCTTCCTCAGGGCCCAGCCCTCTGCTGCATTCAGGGCCTTTACTCACCGCCCAGGGCCCCTCCCCAGGTATAGAGGCCCGGGCAGGGCACAGGCCGGTTACCTGTGCATGGCCACCTCAGAGAGCTGGGCCAGGCGCGGGGCCCTGAGGCTCACGTCCATCTCGTCCCCGATGCAGGCCAGCCGCAGGGCCAACATGTCACTGCAGGGAGCACACATAGGAGTCGGGGTGTGGCTGTGCTGTGGAAGCCACATGTACCTGGACCCACCCAGCCAATGGATTGTGTGCGGCTGGGAGTGGCCCAGAGGGTAAAAGATGGTGTCAGATTCGGGGCAGGCACTGAGCGGGCCTCCCTGCCTCCCTCCTCCAGCTCCCACTTGGATTCAGAGATACCCGCGAGGTCCCATCCGTGCGTGGCCCCAGAGGTGCCAGAGACACCAGGGAGCAGCACTGCCTGAGTGGTGAGTCCCAGGCCCTGTTGTGCCCTGTGACTGCCCACTAGCGTCAGCAGCAGGTGAGTCTCCTGAGGCAGCCTGCCCGTGCACCCAGGGATGCCTGAACATCCAGAACTCGGTCTCTGAACTTCCCTGAAGAATCCTGGGGCAGGCCCACCTGTGGGCTTTGGTGGAAACGGTGGACAAGGGGAATGGGCAGGTCTGGGGAGTGCTGAGCGCCCTGGATGGCTGAGGCTGGCTTCCCACAGGGGTTGCAGCTTACCTTCCTTTGTGGGAGGTGACAGGGCTCTAAGACCTGTGTCCTGGTTCCCAATCCTGAAACCAGCCCTGCTGGCACCACCACTCTCAGAATGGGGGGACTAAGAAGCCCCTGGTGGCCCCCCCCCACTAAGCCACATCCTTGATCCTACACCCCATCCACATCCACTCCCACACAAAGACTGAGGCACTCCCCACCCTCCCAGCTTGCTGGTCTGGACCTCCACCAGGGACCTGTGTGCATTCCATCCCAGTGACTACAGCGGGGGAATTCCCAGGGAGGTGGGACTCCTAGGGGCCCTGAGCTGAGGCCGGGCCAGGGCCCTGGCCCCACCCACCTGACCTGCTAATGCCCTGGGCCTACGCTCCCTACTTGAAGGGGATGCAGGTGGGAGGTGTACAGGGGTGGGCTGGCAATCAGGGTTGGGGGCTGTGGTCCTACCTCCTGTCACCCTGGGGAACCTCAGGCAAACACTGCCCCGGATGGAAAACACTGTCCATCCATCCTTGTCCATTAATGGACAAGTCCCTCTAGTTCTAAAATCCCAGCCAGCCCAATCCCTGTGTCCAGGACCCTAATGACTAAAAATCCTGAGGCTGACAGCAGAAAAGAATCCTGTGGAACCTGGAGCTGGTCCCTGGCCTGTGGGAAGCGCCACATCAGAGCCAGGATTCCCCAGCAGAAAGCAACAGCTCAGGTCAGGCCTGATCATTCTCTTCCAGGCTCAGGGTAGAAACTACTGAGGTCAGCTGCTCCTGGGCCTTCACATCCCTCATCTGTACCAGGGGAAGAATGAAAGTGCCAGTCTTGGCCGGGCGTGGTGGCTCACGCCTGTAATCCCAACACTTTGTGGGGCCAAGGTGAGTGGATCGCCTGAGGTCAGGAGTTCAAGACCAGCCTGGCCAACATGGTGAAACCCCGTCTCTACTAAAAATACCAAACAAAAATTAGCCGGGCGACCGGGTGTGGTGGCTCATGCCTGTAATCACAGCACCTTTTGGGAGGCCGAGGCAGGCAGATCACAAGGTCAGGAGATCGAGACCATCTGGCTAACATGATGAAACCCCATCTCTACTAAAGTACAAAAAATTAGCCGGATGTAGTGGTGGGCACCTGTAGTCCCGGCTACTCAGCAGGCTGAGGCAGGAGAATGGCATGAACCAGAGAGGCAGAGCTTGTGGCGAGCAGAGATCATGCCACTGTACTCCGGCCTAGGTGACAGAGACTCCGTCTCAAAAAAAGAAAAGAAGTGTGTGTCCTTCCTCCCGCTGGGAAGGCCGGGTGTGCCTGGACATAGCTGGGAGCAGCTGGCAGAGTGCAAGGGTCAGGTCCTACTGGACCTTGGCCCCTGAAACCCCAGGCAAATCCTTTTGCCTCCAGGGGCCTTGTCAGTCCTAGGAAGATCCCTTCATGCCTCAGTAATTCTTTGAAGCTGGGGCCAGGAACTGCATGGCCTCCTCAGCCTCTTCCATAGGTTCTGGTTTTCTTTCTCTTTTCTTTCTCTTTCTTTTCTCCTTCTCTCTTTTTGTGAGATGGAGTCTCACTCTGTTGCCCAGGCTGGAGTGCAGTGGTGCAATCTCAGGGCCCAGTACAACCTCCGCCTCCTGGGTTCAAGTGACTTTCCTGCCTCAGCCTCCTAAGTAGCTGGGACTATTGGCGCCCGCCCCCCTCCCCGACCCCCATACCCGGGTAATTTTTGTATTTTTAGTAGAGATGGGGTTTCACCATGTTGGCCAGGCTGGTCTCGAACTCCCAACCTCAGGTGATCCGCCCACCTCAGCCTCCCAAAGTGCTGGGATTACAGGCATCAGCCATAGCGCCCAGCCCGGTTCTGGTTTTCTAAAATGAGAGCCGTCAGAGGCAACTGAACCAGAGCAACTCCATCTTGAATAGTGGCTGGGTAACAAAAGGCTGAGACCTACCAGGTTGCATTCCTAGGAGGCTAGGAATTCTAAGTCACAGTCACAGGATGAGATAGGAAGTCAGCATAAGATACAGGTTACAAAGACCCTGCTGATGAAACAGGATTCAGCAAAGACGCCAGCCAAAGTCCACCAAAGCCAAGATGGCCACAAAAGTGACCTCCAGTCATCCTCGCTATTCACCGTGCACCAACTCTATTAGCATGCTAGGAGTCACTCCCACCAGTGCCACGACAGTTTACAAATGCCACAGCAACATCAGGAAGTTGCCCTCTATGGTCTAAAAGGAGGAGGAATCCTCAGTTCCGGGAACTGCCCACCCCTTACCCAGAAACTCCTGAATAATCCACCCCTTGTTTAGCATATAATCAATAAACAACTATAAGCATATTCAGTCGAGCAGCACATGCACCTGCTCTGCCTATAGAGCAGCTTTTCTTTTTTTGAGATGGAGTCTCACTCTGTTGCCCAGGCTGGAGTACATTCGTGCAATCTTGGGTCACTGCAACCTCTGCCTCCTGGGTTCAAGATATTCTCCTGCCTCAGCCTCCCGACTAGCTGGGACTACAGACATGTGCCACCAGGCCAAGCTACTTTTTTTTTTTTTTGAGATGCAGTCTCGCTCTGCTGCCCAGGCTGGAGGTGCATTGGTGCGATCTCGGCTCACTGCAAGCTCCGCCTCCCAGGTTCACGCCGTTCTCCTGCCTCAGCCTCCCCAGTAGCTGGGACTACAGGCGCCCGCCACCGCGCCCGGCTAATTTTTTGTATTTTTTAGTAGAGACAGGGTTTCACCATGTTAGCCAGGATGGTCTCGATCTCCTGACCTCGTGATCAGTCCGCCTCGGCCTCCCAAACTGCTGGGATTATAGGTGTGAGCCACCACGCCCAGCCCCAGCTACTTTTTGTATTTTTAGTAGAGATGGGGTTTTGCCATGTTGACCAGGCCGGTCTAGAACTCCTGACCTCAAGTGATTCACCTGCCTCAGCCTCCCAAAGTGCTGGGATTACAGGTGCGAGCCACTGTGTGTGGGCCAAATTCTTTCTTGCTTGAGATCCAAGAACCCTCTTTTGGGATCTGGATCGGGTCCCCTTTCAAATGGCAACAGAGCCACCTCCTTCAAGAGGCCTTGATATACTCAGCAGGTCGCTAAGGGCCTGGCCTGTCTAGCTCCCTGAGGCCCAAACACTGTGCCATTTTGACAGCCAGTGGCCCCAGGTCCGTCTTGGGACTGTGAACATGGTGGCTGTCCAGGGCTCTGTGAGCTGGTGTCAGGGGAGAGGGGACAGCAAAGTGAAGCCACTCCCAGGGCAGAAGCCTCCATGCCCACATCTGGGGAATCTTCCTCTCAGGGGCCTTGCCTGGGAGGCATCTGCAGTGCTGCCCCAGTCACAGAAGGTCTGCTCATCCGGCCCACCCCTGAAGTCACTATCAGGCATGGGGTGGGGCAGGCCATGGGGACCTACCTGTCCTCCATACACTCCAAAGGATCGAAGTCCTCCATAGGGTCCAGGTCCTCTTCAGGGTCAGTCACACCAAGAACCTCCATGGTCAGGGGTTCCAGGAGCTGCTCATACAGGAGGCTCTCCATCAAGATGTGTCTGGAGATGGGTCTTACTCCAGACATTTCTCCTTTGGGGCAAAAACACAGCATATGGCTGGACCCCTCAGAACTGAGCGGTCTGGGGGCTCTCTCACAGGGTAACCCCCAGATTGCATAGCCCTACTCACCCGCTCTTTTGATCCGCTAAAGCTGTCAATATCCCCCAGCCCCAGCTCCTGCAGGCATGAATCCCGCTACATGCTGTGTGCCTCTGGGCAAATCGCCCAGCATCTCTGTTCTTGGAAGGGAGGGACTTGAAGATGATTCATAAGGGCCCTTTCTTTCTTTCTTTGTTTTTGGATACTGAACCTTGCTCTGTCCCCCAGGCTGGAGCGCAGTGACACAATCGTGGCTCACTGCAACCTCTGCCTCCTGGGTTCAAGCGATTCTCCTGCCTCAGCCTCCTGAGTAGCTGGGACTATAGGCATGCACCACTACGCCTGGCTAATTATGTTGTGTTTTTAGTAAAGACGGGGGGTTTCACCATGTTGGCCTGGCTGGTCTTGAACCCCTGACCTCAAAGTGATGCAACCCACCTCAGCCTCCCAAAGTGCTGGGGTTACAGACGTGAACCAACCGTGCCCAGCCTTTTTCTTATTTGTGAAACAAAATCAGAGTATAAATAAATATTAGAAGTTCTCTGACACCAGACCTCAAGAAAACCCAGGCACCTGCTGTCAGCACAGGGGACAGAGGCGAGGCTGCACAGGCAAGGCGATTCCTCTGCACCACTAAGCAGAAGGCTACACCTGTTCTTTGGTGTCTGCTGTTTCTCTTGAGAAGACAGGCAGAGAAGCAGCCTGAGAAAAACGTATCACAATCCCCATTCCCAGTGAGACCATCACTAATTCTTCTAGTGTTTTTCCTAAGCACATGTGCGCATCACACATCCTTCTTCACAAATGGGATCACCCCATACACAGTGTTTTACAGTCTTCTTTACTGGCAAACGCTATTTACCTCGCCAGTATCCATTCCACCTGGCTTCTTGCTGCTAGAACCCCAGTTTTCTTCGGGGTGGTCCTGCATCATCATTCATCTAAGCCAACCGCGGCCCTCCTCTCCCTCAGCTTCCCAGCATCCCTTGCAGCTGGTGGCAACCGTGTAACCCAGTTCTGGTCAAGGAGGGCTCAGAGGCTGGAGGCAGGGGTTGGATGCCAGGGAGCTGACACAGCCAGGGCAGCCCCTTCAAAGATGGAGCTGCAGCGGCTGGCCGGGAAGAGCAGAGTGGGGAGGCAGAGCGCCCAGCCCTCAGGGTGTTGCCGAGCTGCCTCCTCCAACTGTTTGTAAGAAAAATGAACCCAAATGTGTCCTCATCGCCATTCATTGAGTTTCCTGTTCTTTGCCACCAAAGGCCTTCCTAACTGTGATCACTGCGAATTCCCACGTCAATAAATGTTTCATCCTGATGGCAGAGAAGGGTTCTGCGACCCGATTCACTATCATGTACCCCACATTTACCCCACAGTGTACCAAACAGTCTTCGATCTAGACGATGATAATGACGATGACTGTGGCACGGGAATCTAATGGCCTAGTTCAAAGCCCAGCTCGGGCAGTTAGCACCAGTGTGTCAGTTTCTTCATCTGTGAAATGGGTTTCATGGTCTGAGAGCCCTGCCCTGGGCTATTGGGAAGACGAAATAAGGAACTCCTTCATGTACTTTGAACAGGGCCTGGCACGCTGGGAGGAAGCTGGCACTAACCATTACCTTTATGCTTCAACTCATTATTTTCTTACCATAATACCCTGGGTGTTCTTAATTTTCAATTCCCCATGCCTGCTGATAGAACACTCCGCCCTCCCACTATCTCACTGAACTGTTTGTTCACACAGGACACTGAGGCTTAGAGAAGTTCATGACTAAGCCAAGAAGGGACAGAGCTCCAAGTTTCCCTGCCCCCCACACGAGGGAGAACTGACAGCAGGCAGGACCCACAGGGCCGCCCTCCCACAGGCCTAGGCACAAGTGTGTGATCACAACTTGCTTTCAGCATTCAAGGGAGATGGATGGGCTGGGTGCGATGGCTCACGCCTGTAATCCCAGCACTTTGAGAGGCTGAGGTGGGTGGGTCACCTGAGGTCAGGAGTTTGAGACCAGCCTGGCCAACATGGTAAAATCCCGCCTGTAATAAAAATACAAAATGAGCCAGGTGTGGTGGCACATGCCTGGAATCCCAACTTGAATCTGGGAGGCAGAGCTAGATTCTGACTCAAGAAGAAAAAATAAAATTTCACAGATGGGATGTTTTACATTGTACAGACTGCCAGCACTGTGCGTGTTAAGGTGGCATTAAAAGAACTGTGTCCAGAACTTCCGGCTGCCTTGGGTGTCTATGCAAATGGCATTTCCCTAGGAAAGCAGCTCCAGCCCTTGTTTGCTTTTCCCCCCTTTCCCTACCCCTGGAAAAGGCAGTCTCCTGCTCTGTGCTCCTGTGGAGACCCCAGTACCTCCACGCCCCGCAAAGTGAGAACGACAGTGCAACCTCAGCTCACTGTGAGCTGCGCTGTGAGCTGCACGGAGCCTTGTCTTGAGCCACTGTCCCAACAGCCCCCTTACCCAGCAGGCATTCCAGAATCCTCAGATAGGAAGAAGGCCCCAGCCACCAGAGTGGGCTACGCTGTCCAGGGTCTACAGCAGAGAGCAGGCCGGGCCGACCTGAGGAGTCAGTCACCCACGCTCTGCCTTCAAGACCCTTTCAAGCTCCCCACCCCGCCAACCTCCTCATCTGAGTAGACCCAGGACCACGTCTCACCTTAGATTAATACCCTAACCCAATCCTTCCTGCCTCAGCCTTGGTTTCCCCATCTATTGTGTTTTTGTTGGTGGTAGTGTTTTTTTGTTTGTTTTTTGAGACAGTCTCACTCTGTTGTCCAGGCTGGAGTGCAACGGTGCTATCTCAGCTCAGCTGCAACCTCCGCCTCCCAGGCTCAAGTGATTCTCTGCCTCAGGCTTCCAAGTACCTGGGACTACAGGCGCGCGCCACCACGCCTGGCTAATTTTTCTATTTTTAGTACTGACGGGGTTTCGACATGTTGGCCAGGCTGGTCTCAACTCCTGACCTCAAGTGATCCGCCCACCTCAGCCTCCCAAAGTACTGGGATTACAGCACTTTGGATTAACTCATTAAATACCCATTACCCTCTACCATATCAAAGAAGTGACCTAATCTGAGCCTTTAACCTCCGGCCTCTAGGCCCAGGCCCCAAGATTGGCTTGATATGAATGGCGAAGATCCCATCACCAACCGGGCCAAGGCTGGCCTTGGGGCCCAGATCTGCATGGGAAAACTCAGTGCTGAGCCAGGGAGTGGAGGGTGGGGGGCCTGCCCAGGAGGGTCCTTACAGCTGTGCTCCCTCCTGGCCACCCCACCAGCCCAAGGGAGGCCCAGTCCTGGTCACTTCCTACCTGGCACCTGCGCTGAATGCCTTACTGGCCTCCAGCCTTCAGTGGAGCTCTCTCCAACCTAATCTCAAGGTGGCAGCCTCAACCCTGACCCTGTCACTGCTCTGTCTGGCTCCCTAGACCTGGCCTGGTCGGTGCAGCTCATGCCTGTAATCCCAGCACTTTGAGAGGTGGAGGCAGGTGGATCACCTGAGCTTAGGAGTTTGAGACTAGCCTGCCTAACGTGGTGAAACGCCATCTCCACTAAAAATACAAAAATTAGCCGGGTGTGGTGGTGCTCGCCTGTAATCCCAGCTACTCGGGAGGCTGAGGCAGAAGAATCACTTGAATCTGGAAGGTGAAAGTTGCAGTGAGCCGAGATCGCGACATTGCACTCAGCCTGGGCAACAGAGCGAGACTTGTCTCAAAAAAAAAAAAAAAAAAAAAAAAGTGGGGGGGTTGTGCCATATCCACTAACAGGCCTTCCCCCTGTGGCCCTGCCACCCCAATCTTGGTTCCCGCCGTAACCACACTCAAGATAAGTATGCTTTCCATGGATGGTGCCTGGTCCTGCCATGCCTCCAAGTCTTCAAATGTGCAGAGCTCACCAGCCAACCTCAGACTGGCCCATGCCTATGCCTATTGGCCCTTTTATAAAAATTAAATTTTGGCCGGGCGCAGTGGCTCACGCCTGTAATCCCAGCACTTTGGGAGGCCGAGACGGGTGGATCACGAGGTCAGGAGATCGAGACCATCCTGGCTAACATGGTGAAACCCCGTCTCTACTAAAAAATACAAAAAACTAGCCGGGCGAGGTGGCGGGGCGCCTGTAGTCCCAGCTACTCGGGAGGCTGAGGCAGGAGAATGGCGTGAACTGGGAGGCGGAGCTTGCAGTGAGCTGAGATCCGGCCACTGCACTCCAGCCTGGGTGACAGAGCGAGACTGTCTCTAAAAAAAAAAAAAAAAAATTAAATTTTATTATTATTTTTTTCACATATAGGGTCTCACTCTTTTGCCCAGGTTGGAGTGCAGTGGCCTGATCATGGCTCACTAAAGCCTCAAACTCCTCGGCTCAGGCAATCCTCCCACCTCAGCCTCCAGGGTAACTGGACAGGTATGTACCATGCACATGGCTAATTTTTATATAACTGTTGTAGAGAGAGGGTCTTGCTTTGTTGCCCAGGCTTGTCTCGGAACTCCTGGCTTCAACTTCCACCTGGGCCTCCCAAAGTACGGAGATTATGAGTATGAGCCTGGCCGATTCAGGCATCACCTTATTGGACCCTCAGAGTCTGCGTGTCTCTGCTCCCCTCTGGCTCCAGCTGACCACACTAGCTGCTGCTCAGTTTCGTATCTGTGGCGGGCTGGAGTGTGGGCTCTGCAACTGGACTGTTGGGTGTCCCTGGGCAAGTTAGCTGACCTCTGTTTCCTTTATTCTAAAATAAAGATGGCTCTGCCTGTAGTCCCAGCACTTTGGGAGGCCAAGGCGGGCAGATCATGAGGTCAGGAGTTCAAGACCAGTCTGGTCAACATTGTGAAACCCCGTCTCTACTAAAAATACAAAAATTAGTTGGGCATGGTGGCGGGCACCTGTAATCCCAGCTACTCGGGAGGCTGAGACAGAAGAACTGCTTGAACCCGGGA